CTGTTCAGTTTTAAGGCGCGTGCTGATTCTGGTGTCGATTGTGGTGTAGTACGTGTGACCGAAAATTGCTTGTTGCACGCGTAAAATTATGATTGCAAATGTAATTTTACACTTGGCACGTTGCGAATACATATTCTTTTTGACTGACTTATCTGTATGACTCTGAATTGAGTTGTTAGTTTAAGGATTGAACTGTGTCAATCGCATTCTCCTGTGTACTGCGCTGTAGAATGTATCTTCCAAAGGTGTAACTTATTGTGTAATGTAACTCCTGTGATAAAATGAACATGTGTGTACCGCTTTAAGGGTGGCGCTCTGTGAAGCGATCTTGCCCAAAATTAAATCTACTGTCTACGGGCGGATTCCGTTTTGTGAAATGTTGTTCTTTCTTTTTGTGAGGTCCATGATCATTAGCCTCGAAGTATGTAAAGTACTTAGTATGATATAGAGTATAGTAATACATACCCGTACCCGTCCCCGGTATAGGTGAAATGAAGAAGATTGCGGGGGACAAGAAAACGGAAGCCGGGAGTCACCAAATGTTACCGCGTAGTGAGTGATTTCTTTTTCCTTGTCCTCTGCGTTCATCTCCCTCTCAGCATTCCCGCCCGAATGGTACTTAAACGGTGTGTCAGGGCCACGACACAGCAGTATGCTGGGTTGCCTACTCGCTCTGCCGTAAGGCGCCATGGCCCCAGGGGTATGCAAACCCGCAACACTGTTGTGTCGTAGCCCTGACTCACGGGTCATGAAAACCATGTCGTCTCTCTTCTCGTGTCCCTCTCCCGTGCGCACCCCCAGGGGAGGGGGGTCAGCAGGGAGTCAGCAGTAACCCCCACCCCCTTATGAAAAAACCCTGCTGCCTGCCGTATAGGCAATTTTGAAGATTCCGCCGGAACTTTGTTATTGTTTTTGTTTTTTTCTGCGCGTCTTTGCAGGCGCTGCAGTGGGGCAGGTCAGGTGAGTCGGCCCCACTCGCCGGTAAATAGGCCGCTGTGATTGGCTGGGCGGCAAGGCGAGCTGCCGCGGGCCAGTGGCGGCGAGTGGCGGGGGGCCGGCCCTAAAGTACATGTGCACCACGCACGCCGGTGGCTGAACCCGGAACTCGCCTGCACGCCGCCGTCATGACGGCCCGGGGTCCCCGCGGTGGTGGTCACCCCGGTCCGAGCAGGCAGAGTGTGGAAGCCAGAAATGAGAATTAAAAAATAAAAATAAAAAAATAAACTGTTTTCGCTGCCGTTCTTCGGATGCGGCGGCGTTATAACTGTCTATTTCTTTTTCTTATTTCTTGATTCCGCACTCTGCCGGGGGGACCGGCGGGACCCGGGCCGTCGTGACGTCACGGGCCTTTCCTCGCCGCGCCCAGAGAATGTCGGCCGCTTGGCCGGCCCACTCGGCCCTAAGCGTAGGTGAGGTGCCGAGCAGCGCGAAGCAGTGCGAGGCCCTGGCAAAGCCCTGCTTCGGCCGCTCCGGCTTCCCTCCCGGCACCGGCTCGACGGCTAGCTCCGGCCGCCGGCGGCGGCTTCACATGGCGTGGCGGGCGAGCGAGAGGCACACTGCCAAAAAAACAACTAAAACGACTGCAGAAAAATAACGCTGCCGAATCAACGGGATACCTCGCCAATGCTTCGCCGGTGCGCTGGCGCTTCTTCTGACCGACTTGGCGCCGGTGCATTTTGAGCAACTACTACCAATAACAAATGGTTGTTGATTATTTCTATGGAATAAGTTTGAAGAAGATGATGTTTTTAAAATACTAATTAGCGAATACGATAGTAGAAGTTCGCGAGCGCGGTCGCGCACCGCGGGCGAGACCCGGGGCGGGGAGGGGGAAAGGGGGGGGGGGGCACCCGCCCGCCTCTGCCCCGTCCACCACGCAGTCTTGAGGCAACGCTCAGCCGGACAGGTCAGTCCGGGTCGTGTCGCTTAGCCGCCGTGTTGTGTGCCCGGGTGCGTCGTCTAGGCTCGCACCCGCGCACCCCCGCCAACTGACTGAAGTTACTGTGTCCAACAGAGGCCCCCCGGTGCGCGTGCGCCTGGGCGAGCACAACCTGGAGTCGGCCGAGGACGGCGCCCGGCCCATGGACATTGCCGTCTCCAGCATGGTGCGCCACCCGGGCTACCAGCCCCCGTCCCGCCGCCGCCCACAGCGCGGCGCTCACCCTCCTCTTGGTGGTCCAGGCCGGACTCATCTCCGGGAGCCGAGGTTGGTAGGAGACAGTCCTAGAAGGGCGGGCAAGGGGGGGGGGGGAGTGGTACTTCCCGTCTTCCTCCTTTGTTTTGGTTGGTGAACCTGCAAGCGACGCGCTGTCCGTCTCAAGAAACTTGCACACCTGGGGTGCCATTAGGAGAACTCTCCGTGAGTTCACTTGAAACATTTTCCCAGAACCCCCCCCCCTCCCCCTATTTCGAGCGGTTTAGAAGACGCTTTAGAAGGCGCTATCGGTGAGATCACTACTTGGAGCTCTGCAACCGCACTGATGCATATATATTACTCATGTCGTGCGGTGTTTGCGTCTCTTTTGTTTTTTTTAATTTAACGTTTAGAATGGGCGGAATTTTTTTCACGAAGACGGATACACCTACCGCTTGTTTGGAAAGGAAATGATGGGCGCGCCATTCGAATTATGTATCGTGGTAAATTTCCAGTGTGTGTGTGTGTGTGCCTGTGCGACGATGTTGGTGGGCGTGCCGTGCCCGGGCAGCGCGGGGCAGCGCATCGCGGGGTCAGGAGGGAGGGGGAGGGGAGTGTCTTCCGCGGGGAGGCAAGCAGCCTCCCACTCGGCGCACCCCCGCGCTCCACGCTCGCGAAGCAACGCAAAACACGCCGATCACCGAATGAAACGCGCGATTAGGCATTAATTAGCCCAACGGCGACAGGGCGTGGTGGTGACCGTCCCGCCAGTGTCGCGACAGTGTCGGTCTGCGCCGGGGGCGGGGGCGGTGGTAGCGGGGGCGGGGCGGGGAAGGACTCGCGCCTCCGGGAGCGTGGTCGTTCAACCATGGCGGAGCAGACGTGCGGCTCGGCTTTGCCACGGTGTTGGTGTTGTTAAACCCCGCCCGGAACCGAGTTGAGCCGGTCCCTCCGCATCGCGTGCGCGAGCGAAATGTGCGAAACGTTTTGAACCGATGAAAATATCCAAGCATACGAACGAACAACGGCATGCACGGCATGCACACATACTTCCCTCGCCGTGTGTGGTCGAGCTGGTGGTCGCTGGCCTGTCTATGCTCTGCCTTCACAGCCCCACACGGTTATTCTCGGATTATGGTCCTGCCTCGCCACTCATCTTTTACTCTTGGATCTGGATTGGCTAGTCGGTTTGGCCTTCAGAGCGGCACTAGCACATACTCCTCTGAGGGTTTGGTTCTCTCCGTCGTAAGGGGAATCCCTGCTCCCCCCCCCCCCCCCCCGTCTCCCTTCCCGACCGGTCCGTGCCGCGGCGGCGAGCACGGCGGACGACACCCGGCCCAGCAAGGCGAGCAGCAGGAGTCCCTCGCCTTTTCCTTCCATTTTGCCCCTCTTCAAATTGCCGGTCTGCCTATCCTATCGTGTCTTCGCCATCATTTTGATTGTAATTTGCACAGAAACGACCCGTTCAGAACGTCTTTGGCATTCTGCCTAGAGAGGCTGAGCGCCTGTCGAGTCCCAGCGGAGCGTGGCGTTTGCCTACCACCCAGGCGCTCGGGTCTCTCTCCTCGCTTCGGTTTTCCCTCGCGAGGATACGCGGAGCTGTGCGTGCCCGCGCGCCCGTGCGAACTGGTGTGAACCCATATTTACCGCGCGGGGAGCTGATTCCCAGAGCGTGCGACTTTCCGTCCTAAATAAGATGAAGATACGGACACGCCTTGCCCCCTCCATCCTTCCACCAATCCCCTGGAGGCTCTCTACCAGGAGCGCTCTATTGCTCCTCCCCCGCATGCTTGTGTGTGTGTTTAAAATTATTTATAGCGACGATAGTGATGATGTATTCAATGAGCCCCGAGGTTATCCGGAGGTTATCCGGAGGTTATGCAGAGGTTGGAGGTTGGCCGGAGGCACGGCAGCTGCGCTGGACGCGGCATCCGGTCGCCTCCGGACATGGAGATACTCGAGTGGGTGTGACTGAACGCCCGCGAGCTCTCCTACTCTACGTCTTGTTCCAGAGCGCTGTCCGTGGCCATGCGTGAGCCTGTCCGAGTGCCGGTCCGAGCAGCCGGCGTCCTCCGGGACCTCCGCGTCGGAGAGGAGCTGGATGTGCCCGGGGACGCTCGTCTGCTGCAGGGATCGCCGGAGTCGGGTGAGTCGAGGGGTCACACGGTGTGCCCCACCGCAGTCTGTACGACCGACGAGGAAAATGATGGTTTTCCGCACAATTAAATCTGTTTTGTCGAAACCCAGAGAAGTATTGGCGACGACAAAGGGAAGGTATCCCCGGCAGCTCCCCCGGAGCAGCCCGTGCCCCTGCCTCTCACCCTCCGCCCCGACACCGGCCCCGCCCTCGGCCCC